CAGCCAGAGCGCCGGGGGGAGGGCGGCGAGCCCGGCCGTGGCTCCGCTCTCCCTGGGGGGCCGGAGCGCTGCGCTGCCCCCCTCCAGGTGCCGCCCCAAGCACAAGCTTGGTGGGCTGGTGTCTGGAGCCGGCCCTGGTTGCTGTATGAAAGTAGAGGTTAGAAATGATAGCAGGTGAAGTGTCTCAACTTCACTCCTGGAACATTTCTACCCTGGAAGTGGTGACAGACAAAGATCAAAACACAGGGCTTCAGAACCTCAACCATAGAATCAAGCTACCAATGCTGATAGATTTACTCCTCCTACTCCACCAAATATACAGGCACCATACATTTGAGGATGCAGAATCCAAAGCCGATAATACATCAGTGGCAGTGTTATGTGCAACTACAAGGGGATCCAAGTTTGCATACATAATTGTGCCCTACACCAAGAGGACTAAAAGGATGAGAAGGCCTGGCTGAGACAGGGTGCTGAGAATTCCCAACACAGGTCTGGAGCGCCATCCCCAATGGCAGAAAAACTGTACTGAGTCCCTGGGTACCAAGACCCAGTCTCTCCCAGAAGGCGCGCATGTGCTAAATCCTGGAGTGGAGTAACAGGGGAAAGAACCCTGCTCTGGTCAACTGAAGAAAACACAACCACTCTCATTGGAAATGGAGGCACAAGTGACCCAGATGCTCCATCCTTTCCAGGGAGTATTGACAGAGGTTGACACCAAAGTCTCCACAATCTGAGGAGGATGAAAAGTTGATGCTCAGTTGGAATCTTAAGCCTTCTTAACAGGGTTTCAGTGATGTGAAGGTATCAAATGGCAATTGGGGTCATGCTCCTCTGAGCTCAGAATCCTGCATGAGGGGAGAGGGGATGTGTGTCCACACATGGTGGGAAGACAGCATGGCTCCAATGGACACTGCTTCCTATAGGTTCAGTAGTTCAGTCACCAAGAGCACACTTCCACCTACTGTGTGGATCTACTTGGCTAACACTTTTTAAAAGCAGATCCTGAATTTAAAGTGAGAGGTTGGCTATAGGTTACAGGCTGCTTTTACACCAGTATGTGTTTGAATAAATTACAGTTCAGCTAATATATTTTTGAAATGTTTTAATAAGCTGTTTTAGTTCAGCTGGAAATGATCTAGGTTCATAGAATTTTAGAAAATCTTGTTTCCAGCTATAAGTCTTGCCAAGGAGTAGGTTACTCAAGTTTTATAGTGTTTATATATAAACAGGCTACTACAGTTATGGGCCTCTCTTGTCCCAGCTACCAAAACCACAGCATTGGCCAAGAGTAGTGAAAACAGGATGTATGATCTGGAAGCAAAGCTCCTTAGCTAAGTTTCCTTTCCTTAACACGCAGAACACTAAAGGAGGTATCGCACCTAGTTTATCTATTTATCAGATAGGTATGTATACCATGCTCATCACTGTGGGATCTGAGCATTCAACATTTGTCTACTTCAAACATATGTGGAGATAATTTTGTTGATTTTTTCATTACATATATTTTATTTTGGGAGAAACTTTGTTCAATATATTTGTTCTTTTTTTAAAAAAAAGGATACCAAGTAATCTCTAGGTGAAAGAGGACGTGGGCTGGCTTGGGTGCAGGTGAGAACTGCTTCCTTACAAACATCCAGCTCTACTAGCCTGAAGTCACCCACATGGTACCTGAACCGTTTGCCTCCCCTAACATTTTGAGGCCATAAGCAATTTGGCCTATATTGAAATAATTGCAAGTTAATTTGTAAAACTATTTCACTGCATCAAACAGCCCCTTTCAGTAATTCAACCTCCTCTGTGCATCAGAGGACCATCTTTCCAAGAGCACCTGAATTGTTTGCTCTGCATCCTTCCCTGAAAGCACCTCCCCATTTCCCTGCCCCAAATCCCTGTGTGAGTCTTTCCCACTTACAAAATGATACTTATCCTGTCTCCACAGGGTGGGGATGTCCATAAATTTTTCAAGAAATGGGAACATGTTGACCATTACAATCGCAGCTAGTACAGCCTATGAGAGTCAGAGAAAAATAGCATTTATTCTCCTGTTAATTCGTTATGGGACTCTAAACATGCTATGAAATGGATACATAGACCACGGCTAGATGAACTGCTAAGTTAAGATGTTAAAATATCTACATTTCAGTAATTACCGTGTATACATATGACTAACAATTTTCTTCTGATCTGTAAACCCATATTAAATTTGTGTATAATCTCTTGTCTAATTTCATAGGAATGTCTGCAAATATTATTGCATTGTCTGTTGAAATATGTGTTAACTTCCACTGCAGTACTCTTCAATAAACCACAGCAAATATGCTTTTGCCTCCTGAAACACTAAGGGAGGGCCACATTGCCACCACAAAAATACTGCTTCTATAAGGAGTGCTTTCCACTAGCATGGACAACACATAGCCGTCTGACACCATTTGTCAAAAACACCCCTTTCTCCTAATGCAGACAAGAGAATTGGGGGTGGGTAACATCCAATTTGTCAGCTAGTTCTGGGAAAGGGCTTGGTCTTCCCATCTTAGGCCATGTCTACACTTACAAGCTTACAGCAACACAGCTGTATTGATACAGCTGTGCTGCTGTCAGTGCGCTCATGTGGCTGCGTCATGCAGACGGGAGAGAGCTCTCCTGTTGACACAATAAAACCAGCTCAACAATGGCGATAGCTATATTGGTGGGAGAGTGTCTCCTGCCAACACAGCAATGTGTACACGAGCGCTTATGCTGGCAACATTTATGTCACTGAGGAGTGTGGTTTTTTCACACCCCTGAGCGACAAAAGTTTTGCTGACATAAATGCTAGTGCAGACATGGCCTTACAGAGAGGCCAGGGGACATTGGGAAATATGGCTTGGCCTCAGCAGTTCCCTAAGTAAAACTTTCAAAAGAATGGGAGAGCCAGAAGAAATATTAAGAGATAAATGGAAAAATAGGCCCCTGAAGAACAATATTTTATTATAGTCTCATATGGCAATGAAAGATCTGGGGGAGGCAGTTTAGGAGACCATTTGATTTTGGAATAAATCTCAAAGTCCAAGCTGGTACCAGACATACTAAAACCAAATTCCAGTTGGAGGGTTTTGTGTCCTTTAGTGAAGTCTCTAAGGCACCAATCCTACAAACACTTACACATTTATGTCTAAGAGTACTTCATGGAAGTGTATAACTCCGTTGAGTTCAATGGGACTACTCAGTGTAAGAGTTTGCAAGATAGGGGACTAAGATAATAAGTATCAGGGGGTAGCCGTGTTAGTCTGTACATCCGAAGAAGTGAGGTTTTTACTCACGAAAGCTTATGCCCAAATAAATCTGTTAGTCTTTAAGGTGCCACCAGACTCCTTGTTGTTTTTGTAAGATAATAAGTGAAACCTTTATTTTTAAATGATGGGTTCTGGCTATGAAGTTTCATTTATGCTTCAGCCAGTGAGATCAAGCTCTTTCTAAACAACCAGAAATGGGCCTGAGATGCAAAATTTTCTATCTGGATTTTCAGCCCTATAAAGTTTAGGGGAGTTTGAATCTGTGACTTTGGTTTGGTCCCATCCCTTGAAACCATTAACTGTAGTGTAATCCCTAATGCATTCTGGAAGACTTCTGTATTATGCTTAGTTATGGGAGCAGCCTACTTACATTCTATTTCAAATTCACTTACATTAGGCAGAGACTGGAAAAAGTGTCCTAGTTTCATCACTACCACTAGCATTATGGATGCTCCAATTAGTGCTGCAAACTGAACACAAATATTGTGTTAGAGATGCATTCCGGAGCTTACCATGAGTTGCTCCTCTGCTAAACTCCTCAGATATCAAAGCTTGTACAGCCACCAGCAGCGCAGCTTATTGAGGTAAGAGACTAATGAAGGATTTCACGGGACAATGGGAAATAGTACTTCAAAAGTACAATTGCTTTGTCAAACCCTACACCTCCGAAGCACCAGCTTTCACTGGGCTGCTCATCCCATTGGCCTAATCCCGTTCAGAGAATTCTGAAAGAGCCTGGTGACATTGTATACCACTCAGATACACTCTTCTTTTCAGCTGAAGGACCATTTGCCCACAAACAGTATAAGCAGGGGGATTTGAGACCTCCTTCAAGTAAGGAAAGGGGCAAAGGAAATCGTGTGCCTCTGATTGCAAGACCACCACTATTACGCCCTAGTACAGGAGCAGCAGCAAAAGTAGATGACCCATCGTGTTCTGCTATAGATACTGCAAAACTAGTAGTATGTGATCATGTAATTAAAGACTACATGTTAATGCAGAAGTATACAGGGACGGAATTAACGTTGCACAGGCATAATTGTGAAAAGTGGTGTTTACAGAAGTCTGTAAATTGCTTGGATGAAAACCAGGCCCTAGTGCAGAGGTGGGAAACTACGGCCCGCAAGCCACATCTGGCTTGCCCCTGGCCTCTCCCCTGCTGTCTCCCTTCCCCCGCATCCTCACCTTGCCGCGCCGCCAGCGCTCTGGCCCGCTGCTCCCATCGGGCAGCAGGGCCTGCTGCTCTGAGCTGCATGGTAAGGGGGCAGGGAGCAGGGGGGGTTGGATAAGGGGCAGGAAGTCCCAGGGGCAGTCAGGGGGCGGTTGGATGGGGCGGAGGTTCTGGGGGCGGTCGGTCAGGGGACGGGGAACGGGGAGGAGGGGGAGTGGTTGGATAGGTGTGGGAGACCCGAGGGTCTGTCAGGGGGTGGGGGTGTGGATAGGGTTGGGGTAGTCAGGGGACAGGGAGCAGGGGGGGTTGGATGGGTCGGGGATTCTGCGGGGGGCAGTCAGGGGGCAGGAAGTGGGAGGGGGTGGATAGGGGCCAGGGGCCAGACTGTTTGGGGAGGCACAGCCTTCCCTACCCAGCCCTCCATACAGTTTTGCAACCCCGATGTGGCCCTCGGGCCAAAAAGTTTGCCCACCCCTGCCCTAGTGGAATTATATTGATCCTAGATGAGGGTCTGGAAGCTTGACCTCCTGATCAGGTGTTGCAGCTCATACAACCAACCCAACTCACCTGTGTTTTTCCGCCTGTCTTCTCCTGAATGACAGTCCCAGAAATAGCACAGCTGACAGCAAAGCTTTTGAAAAATGAGCTGAAGATATTGCATAGCCCCACAGTCATGAGCTCCTATAAAGCACAGCCAAAACAAAAACACACAACCCCAACACTTACTTATCATAGTAACTGTGTTTTTTTTCCAAGAGTGATATTACTGTCTGCTCTCACTTATGGGATGCCTGCCTGTGCTGCTAAGCTTTGGGAACCTTCTGAAAAGCAGTGCTTGCTACGGCGCTCCCTTTCATTGTACCACATGTTCATCCCTGAAGCACTGACCTCAACAACTTCAGTTCCTTCTTCTAGAAGAGTCCTTTGAGAGTGAACTCTAGCACCCTGCATGAATGACACCCAATTAACATGCACAGCACAATGTACCTATGCAAATGCTGGGTGCAAGTGACAAGCCCTTTGTATTCCCCAAAGGCTACAAGAAGTCATGCTGACTTCCTACCTGCCTTAGTTCCATCCTCATAAAATCTCAATGCCTTCATAAGAAGCTAAATATGAAATGGCGCAAGCTTGCTAGTTACTAACTATAGTACACTAGAAATAATGGAGTTGGGAGCCAAAGACTTCCCATATCATCACACCAGACAGAGAAGATCCATACACTAACAGGTGGCTACAGAAAGGAAGGAAATAGGGCTATTCAGCCCTTTTATAACCTTGGCTATTAATGTCTGGGTGCTGTGGAATAGGCACCGCTCTCCGAACAGATTCCAAAATTCATTGGCATAAGCAGCGGGTGCAACCCACAATTAGGAACATACAAAGGTCAGGTTGTAGAAGAAGCAGCTGTTTTAGCCCAGCCTCTCCAACCCCCCTACCATATCCCAATGTATCTTTCTTCAGCGGCAAACAAACATCCATATGCATGTGATTGGTTTCTGGCAGAGTGCTGGAGGTCACCCGTTGTTTTAGCCTTTCTCAACTCCTATGCTGCTTCAGCTAATTATGATGCCAGTGCTCTTCCTCCCATTGGGAAGGTAGCTGAGTTGCTGTAAAGCCACTGGGCTGCATTTCTGCTCTGCCTCTGGGACTCCCACCACACTCCGAGCCAGTTAATGGCTTTGGTAAGTGACAAGTAAGTCCAGTTCGGCTGGTCTGGGAAGCACGTGAGGTTTTGCTCTCACCTGGTTGCTGGAGATGTTGTAGTTGTGAATACAAGCGTACCTCTTTCCCACAAAAATGAGAAGGAAGTAGCTTACAATAGCCAGGGAGAAGGCATGGGCTACAATCCTGCTCAAATTTGACAAGTCTGGCAGCGTAGGAGGCAGAAACCTGGAATAGCAGAGAATAAATTGTCTTAATCTTGTTCTGTGCCTTACGTACAGTCCCCTTTTCAGGACCTCAGCTGATGGCATTCAGTACTCTTCAGGAGATGCTCTGACTCTTGTTGGGGTGGTCACTGCTATCTCATGAGAATCCCTTAATGTATTTGCACAGTAAATGTAAGTCAGTAATTTGTGGAGAATACTGTTGAAAAGAGCAGCAGATGGAGGGTGGATCAAAGAGCATCCAGGTAGCCTCTTTCCAACCAGCATATCCACAGGAGCTGGGCAGGATGTCAAGCATTACCTTAAGCACTAGGCAGAAACCTTGCTAACACACAGAGGAGCATTTCATGACCCTATGGGAGGTGTGAGAGAGCTGCTGGTTGAGGTGTGTCTAGGCTCCCCTATCTACATGTTGCCTTTGGGAGCACACAATGAAGGGGGCACAGACTGCACCTATTTTCAGCAGCAATAAGGATCATTGTTGAATGTGTTTTACCCAGCGCCCTCCTCTCAGAAATATCCCGCACTGCAATGCACTTTCCACTTGGCTTCAACTGCTCGCCTATAACCTCTTGGTGCCTGAATTTCAACTTCTGTAAAATAAGGATACTTAATATCTCAATTGCAGGGATAGTGTGAGGTTTAGTTCATTAATGTCTGTAAAATATTTTAAGTCCATTGCAAGGAAAGCCAAATGTAAAGAAAAATGACCGGGGAGAGGGGGGTGGAAAGATTTGGAAAAACAAAAACAGAAACCACAAACAAGAACCTTTCTCTACAATTTAAAATAAAATTTAATCTAAAAATGTAAATAAATAAAATAAAAATTGTGGATGACACAAAGATTGGTGGATGGTAAATAATGGTGAGGACAGAGCAGACATACAGAACAATTTGGATTACTTGGTAAGATGGGCCCATTCAAACCAAATGTTTTCAGAAAGCCAAATGCAAAGTCATACATCTAGGAACAAGGAATGCAGGCCACATCTCCCTCTCTCCCTCTCTAAAAAGAGTACATTTTCATTCATAACTGGAAATTACCAACCTGTGTGGAACCATTTTGGCCACAAGCATACTGGATTCGGCATGCAGATGAACATGGTTAGCAATAATGGTGATTGTAATAATCTGGGAAAGAAAACAGGAAAATTATATTATTGATAGTAAATTCTTGGGGGCAGGGACTGTCTTTTCATACATGTTATACAATACTTCCTTAAGAAATATACAATAAGAAAAGCAGTTTCTAGTTTGTCATAATGGAAGAGTAGGAGAAAGCTAAAGACTTGCTCACAAAATTCTATCATAACTTAACTATGGAATGTTCAACATTCCACAGGAATAATTACAGCAGCTACCTTCAGATTCTTTCTGCAAGTGGAAATATATGAGAATCTTGAAATAACCTGTAAAATGTTCTTTTCAATAAAATATATTACTACTGGCACTTCTGAGCTTCTTGCAGTTGACCATGATTGTGATGTGGCAGTATGGGAGGCATCCTATATAAGGAGATATTAAAATCAACTTTATTATTGACTTGACAATTTTTGAACACTAAAGAGTTAAAGTTTTCTTTCTCCAGTTGTTAAATTAATAATAAAGCAGGATGGAAACCAGTTTACAATCTCTGATCCTGGATTCTGACATGGCCATTGTCACAAATGGGCCCTATTCTACAAAGTGCTGAGTGGCCTCAACTTCCACTAACATCAATCAGAGTTGGACTCTAAGTACCTTATTCCTGGGGGAAAGTACCTCTGACCCGCTGAACTTTCAGACTTCTGGCTGAGCAAAATGGTCAGAGTTTTTCTTTAAGCCTGTTCTGAACTTATTTTTACATTTAATATTTTTGATCATTAAAAAAAAGAAAAAGACTCAGGAGAGGAAAAAGAAAAAGAGAAAAAGTAAACGAAAGATGACAACAAAATCTGAATCCACAGCTGGAACCTGTCTCTAAAATAGAATGAGTCTGAACATCCCCAACATCTGGGAAAGTTCAGATTCAGATCCGGATTCAGAAACCCCAATGAGTGTTTAGATGCAAGGTTCTAATTTTGCCCACAATAAATAAAGATAAGAAGTTCCCACTCTGATCCAGGGGATAGACGTGGTGTTTTGGTTTGCGCCCATCTCTTTATAGACATTAGTTACTCCTCACAGCATCCTCAGGAGGCAGGGATGCAGAGATTTAGTAATTGTTCAAAGCCGCTCTGCAAATCAGTGGCAGAACAGACAATGGGACTCGGGAGTTCCTGGTTCACAGCCCCATGCTCTAACCACCATACCAAGTTGCCTCTCACATAGTGAGACTTTACTGGTTTCTGTTAATTTTAGTTATCATAGTGGATATATGGAGAAGACTTACCAGGAGAAGTTCCATAGGGAATGCAACAGGACTGTGCTTGTAAGTTATCTTGATACAATTGCTGACCCTCAGCATGAGTAGGCCAACCAAAAATAGCAATATACTGGTGGCATTAGCCTTTGGGAGAGCCATGCAATAATGAAACAGGTTCTGAAAGGGAAACATCATAGAGAGGATGAGAAGGGGGTATTACAGCTTTTTATATGAGCTGGCATTTCATACTCTCTAAAAGGATGCCCTTGTATTTCAACTGGTAGGCCCTTCTGTGACAAAAGCATCTTTAATAGGAAGAGGGAGACAGCTACTAAGAACACAGCGAGATTTTAAAAATATGTTTTCTATAGAGAGCAATACAGAAAACAACAGCACAAATATGGCTTTGTACTTCTCATTGTATTTTCTAAAGTGAGTAGAGAACAATATACTTTCTCCAGCCCCTCTCTCCTCCTAGCATCCAGAAAATCTGCATACACTGTATAGTACACCCACCTAGGAAAGGTGAACGCAGCTACGGTTGAGACTTGCCTAATTTCTACCCTAGCAATGTGCTTATACTGAAATTATCTTAATTTCTGAAGCTATTCATCCTCTTCCCCTCCAAGGGGCAGGCACCAAGTGTTTGGTTTACTCACATAGAAAATGGCCAGGGGGCCCATATGGAAGTTGATCACAATCCCGAAGATGAAGGAGAACTGGGATACGATGACATGCAGCGCTGCTGCAGTGAGGTAAGCGTCGATGAGGGTCTTTGGCAGATAGGTTGTGACAAACCCCAAGCAGAAACAGCCTAAAAGCAACTGAAAGGAAGGCAAGAGAGGAATGAGAAGTGGTGACACAAAGGGGACTGAGCCTGACACTAAGGCCTTGGCTATACTTACCCGCTAGTTCGACGGCTGGAAATCGAACTTCTGGGTTCGACTTATCGCGTCTAGTCTGGACGCAATAAGTCGAACCCGGAAGTGCTCGCCGTCGACTGCGGTACTCCAGCTCGCCGAGAGGAGTACCGCAGAGTCGACGGGGGAGCCTGCCTGCCGAGTGTGGACCAAGGTAAGTTCGAACTAATTCGAACTAAGGTACTTCGAACTTCAGCTACGTTATTCACGTAGCTGAAGTTGCGTACCTTAGTTCGAATTAGGGGGGTAGTGTAGACCAAGCCTAAGTGATCAGCTACTTTGGAACCTAATCATTAACTCTCCAACCCCCTCCTTGTCCTTTATAAACCAAAGGGGCTGATTCTCCACTGCTTTATACCAAGTGAACTCATTTGTACCTGTTGCATCCACTTTGCACGAGTGTCAAACACTACCAGAGCAGCCTGACAGCATTTTTCATCCGCTTTGTACTGGTATAAATGACTACATAAAGGTGCAAGCAGTGGAGAATCAGGCTGCCAAATACAAAACATTTAACGCTAACTATACAGTAGCACACAAGGAGATTCTCTGGCTTCCACTTTTGATCTGATGGATTAGGAATAATTCCAAGACAAAAAACAATGTTAAAGAAAAATTAAGAGTCAGTATAGAAATCAGTACATGTAAGGGTAAATCCTTACAAGAACATTGCAGTTAAGAAAAAAAAACTATTAGAAAAGGTAGGAAATTCAGATTTAAGGTTAAAACTTACAAGAAACCCAAACTTTTGAAAGCATGGAAATCCACAGATAAATTACCAAAACTACCAGGCATCACTGACAAGAGACAAGAGCAGACAAGTGGGGAGAGTCAGAGCAAAAAAAAGTCTTAAAGGTGGAGTCAAAAAGCTGAAATTGATGCAAAGAGATTCAATTGGTGTGTGTGCACAGGTGTTTTGGAGGGAATGAACAGAACAGGCAATCATTGAGTGATCCATCCCCTGTCGGCCACTCTCAGCTTCCAGCAGTTCTTGCTGTGTGGACAGAAAAAAATGCTGATTCAGGAAATATTATGGAGGAAGATGTGCCAGGATTTGGAAATGAATTGAATGCGTGGGTTAAGGGGTAGAGGCACCTTGACATATCTTGGTCGTAAATCATAAGAGGAAAAAGAACTAGAGCCCTGTGTACAATGCACTGCAAAAAATATATATTTCAAACATGTGCTGAGAAAGTTTAACCTGTTGGTAGTTCTAGTTCCCTGGTTTGTACAATGTCCATCAAGGCCACATCCATAGGGAGCTAAAAGGAATGCAACTTCTACCTGGATGATCCCAGTCAGAAATGTTGTTGATGCAGTAAGTGTCAAGGCTTCCATGTAACTCTTCATATAATTTGCATCTGAGAAATTGGCAAAGGTTCCATTAGCAGTCAATATTGGGCGGAAATTCAGCGTCTTCAGAACATCTGCCACCATTGCATTCAGAATGCTGAATGAACCTGTGACCAACAGAAGCAGAGAAGAAGGTTGTATGATTCCCTGCAACCACAGGTCCATCTTTCACCCCCACCCATGCACTAGAGGTCTATTTTCTGTGTGTGTGTCTGTGTGTGTGTGTGCATTCACACACACTTCATAATAGCGATATAAAATCATGTCTCAGACGTATAAAATCAAGTCTCAAACACTGATTCTCACTCACCCCCCTCCCAAGTATATGAAATTCCTGATACTGTATATCATCCAAAAGCAGACTACATTTACAACCTCACAAACATGAACTATCAAGTCGTTCAGATGCATGACCAAAGATTATTTCAAAACAAACTCTAAACAAGCTTTTACCCCTCTGTCAAATAGACTGAAAAGTGAATGTGAAAGAAGTTAGCTGAAGAAGGAAGTGTAGCTCTGGCTCTAAGACTAGAGGGCACCCTATGCCCACTTACTGTGATACAGTGGACAACCTTTTCACCTGAAAGGAAGGGAAAACAAAGGAGGTCTAGGATCAGAACCATCGCCAAAAAATAATTGCCAGGGCTCTGTTCACAGATTTATGTCTCCAATCCATTTGTTTGTTGATCTCCTTGGACAAATCTCTCTGTCTCATGTGTTTGTGTGTTGTGTGAATATATAATTAGGAAGAGTGCAGAACCATTAAGGATGCGATAATGGCAAGCAGCTGTGTGACCCCGTGAGCAGACCAGAAGCCAAATTGTGACTCAGTTTGGTTCCCCACTTGCTCTCGGGGATGGTGGGGGAGAGAAAGAAGGAAGAATATTCTGCGCAAGCCCTACTGTGTCTGGTGCTGATTACTCTTCCATGGAATTCTGGCTCTCTCCTCTGTGCTGGTATCTGTGATGTGGATAGTCCGTGCAAGGAAGTAAGTGGACACCTTACTCCCTTGTGCGGGCATACAAGGTAGTCCACAATTGAGTCCTAAGAGATTTGCTCAGGATCACACAAGTCAGAACCAAGCAGGTGACTGGGAGTCAGGATGCTCACTCCAAGACCATGCTACCAAGTAAGATTAAATAGATGAGACAAAGATAGATACAGGCACCTCCCACACCCAGAGGCGTAGTGAGCGCCCTCCGTACCCTCCAACCGGAGGGGGCCCCGCAAGGAAGGGGGCCCCTAAAAGTGGCAAAATAAATACCGCATTCCAGTTTCTGCATTGTAAGGGGACCCGCCTGGACATATGTTCGGAGGGGGCCACGTTCTTTGTTGCTACGGCCCTGCCCACACCCTCTAATGACAACTCTGCACATGACCCCATAAATCCTGGGGACCCAATTCACAGAGCAGAGTAAAACTTACCAATGGAGATATGGCGCGAAGTCCCAAATACAACATATGTTAATGAGCAGCAGAATGCAGAATAGAAGCCATTGACAATTGGTATTGGTAACCTCGTTAAAAAAACTCCTGACAGTCCTGGAGGAGAAACATACATTTTTAAAAGCAAAGTGTACCTGGCAAGATTTTATCTTCTACTGTACTTTAATTGTCACAAAGAATACTAATAAAATACTGAATCTTAGAAGGTGTATGTGTGTATGCATATTTGTTTGAGAGCACATGTGTGCATCTCTGTGTATGTCAAATATTGTGCATGAGAGTATATGCTGAGCACAAGTAAAAATATATGTATGCAGATGTGTCCAGGCCTGTACATAGCAGGCTATAAATTCAGTTAAGGAAATTTGATGTCAACTTGAAGTCCATTGTATATTCCCCAATAAAAACTATGTTAAAAACTGGGGGTAAAGACTAAGGGTATGTCTACACTACGAGAGTAGTTCGATTTCACTTAAATCGAATATGTGGAATCGATATTGCAAAGTTGAACCTGTGTAGCCACACTAAGGACAGTAATTGGACTGTGTGAGTCCACACTAACGGGGCAAGCGTCAATATTGGAAGCGGTGCACTGTGGGCAGCTATCCCACAGTTCCCGCAGTCCCCGCTGCCCATTGGAATTCTGGGTCGAGCCCCCAATGCCTGCTGGGGAAAAAAGGTGTCGAGGGTGGTTTTGGGTAACTGTCGTCATCCAACCGTCACTCCCGCCCTCCCTCCCTGAAAGCGCCGGCGGGCGATCAGTTCGCGCACTTTTCTGATGAGTGACAGCGCGGACGCCACAGCACTGCGAGCATGGAGCCCGCTGCGACCATCGCTGCAGTTATGGCCGTTGTCAACACCTCGCACCTTATCAGCCACCTTTTCCAGAGGCAGATGTTGAGAAATCGGGCGAGGAGGCTACGGCAGCGCGATGAGGACATGAAGTCTGAGAGTGGCACAGACCTGTCACAAAGCATGGGACCCCGCGCCGTGGACATCATGGTGGCACTGGGTCATGTTGATGCCATGGAACGGCGATTCTGGGCACGTGAAACAAGCACGGACGGTGGGACCGCATAGTGCTGCAGGTCTGGGATGAATCCCAGTGGCTGAGAAACTTTCGCATGCGGAAGGGAACTTTCCTTGAACTTTGTGAGTTGCTGTCCCCTGCCCTGAAGCGCAAGGACACCCGGATGCGAGCAGCCCTGACTGTCCAGAAGCGAGTGGCCATAGCCCTCTGGAAGCTTGCAACGCCAGACAGCTACTGGTCAGTCGCGAACCACTTTGGCGTGGGCAAATCTACCGTGGGGGTTGTTGTCATGCAAGTAGCCAAGGCAATCGTTGATGTACTGCTA